TTTTTCTCTCTTGTACAGTGTTTATATTATATGATGTTATTTTTTCATACTCTTACTGTTTTTATACAGTTTTTTTCTCTATCCACTTTGCGGCTGTAATATTAGAATTTCCCCATTGTAGGACTATTAAAGGAATATCTTAACTGATGAGCTTGGTGGTATACGATTCGAACCGGTTCTCAAATGGACAGAGTTTTAAATCGACTACAACTGCTAACATCTACCATTTAAAGTAATTTCAGCAAAAATCAACAGTTGCCAGATAAAAACAGGAGCTTCTTTTGTTTATAATCAAGATTCTATTGTTTCAAACTCATTATCAATGTAAACTGCTTTGTGCTGTGAGAGGCTGAATAATTCACAAGCATTAAACTGTAACTAAGAGGGGTGGAGCTTAGTGAACATTCAGTTGACTTCAATAAAAGATCCATTTCTGTGTATTTATACACCATTCAAGTGAGCTCGGTTTCTAAAGTTCAAAGCACTACAGGAGCTATTCTGCGGTTAAGTTTTCTAAATTACTTTTTTGCTGCATCAACTCTCCCTCAACGTTATCTACTTCCACTTCGGTTAGCGGTTTCTTTCAGTTCCCAGAATGCCTCATGACAACCTGACAGAGGCGGGGAGTGAACCTGGGTGCAGCTGCATTGCATTAAATCTATTTGAGCTGTCTCAGAATGAGAAATCGGTATCTCTGCCTCTTCTGCAACGGATTATTCTGCTGTGATTGCTGAACGTCGCCGTACAATAGCAGCTTCGAAAAGACTGCATCTTTGAATCTGGATTTGTTGACACCAAAATCTGACATTTACTATTATATTTGAGGCAGCTGAACATTGTTCCGCTATCACTCCGCTGTAGCTGCAATCAAAGTATCTTTCTGGCCATCTGTGAGAAAAAGATAAACACATCAAACAGCGGTGGTCCACAACGGCAAGGTACACCACCAGTAGCTGTTATTCTAACAGTGTCAAAGTGTCTTTGTTTGGATTTCTGCTTGAAATGTTTGCGTCGGTGGATCAACATTACAAGTAAGGTAGTAATATAGTAACAGACGCGGCACCGCAACAACAAATTCAGCTAAAACTATTTGTGTGATACAGCAGCGATGCAAAATGCACAGGCTGGAAGTCATAGGTGCGGAAATATAAACTGAGAAGCACGAGAAGAGTATTTTTATGACAGGAACATATTGGATGTGGGAGAGATGGAATGTGATTGAGGCGGGAATGTGAGATAAAGCAGAATGATTCTTTCAGTTTTTAAGAATTACCACATTGTTCCTGCGGTCTATGAGAAGACAACAAATTCAGCTCCAGCTAAAAAAAAACTTAATATAATGTCAGGAAGAGGTAAAACAACAGCTTTCATAACCATTTAAGTTAAGTGTGCTCAGGTCAGGATATTTAGGGCCGATCACAGATCGTTGGAAGCAGTATTGACCGATACTGATCACTGGAAAATGCATACGAGTCGCTGGCCGTTAATACACCACGAGGCCTGCAAGTAAATCTATGTATGGGACTGAATATAACTTTCCGTAGTCAACTCAACTCAACTCAATCAAGTTAATCTAGCAAAAATGCCAGATAATGATTGCAGGTTCTCAAGGAGAAAGAGAGAGGACTCTCTGCTTTTGTGTGTTTTTAATCATTGTAAAAAGCACCCAAAAACCTGTATATTCTATCTACAGAGCGGCGCAACACTTTCTAATCACGACAACATGAATTCAGATCTTTATGGCCTCGGAAATTCAGTAACAGCAGTAAGTCTGTCATGTTTCTCTTTAAGGGAATCTAATTAAAGTTGTATTCCCAGTAAGATTATTGCAATGTTTGTGCAACTTGCAGGCAGCAAAAACACTATTCCTTTCAGATTCATTTGCAACAATAGGTGTAAAAGCACAAGCTGCCTGTACAATAGACTTCAAGTGTATGACAGTGAGAATAATTGCCATGTCAAATCCTCTTGGGCTTCAGCGTGTTCCTGTTTCGTTTGATGCATGACAACTGCCAAGGTGACAAGCGAGCTGTCACAATGCCGAGAGAGTGAGATGAAGCTCGGAGACGAATTTAAATACTTGTTTGCGTTTTCCAAGTAGTGACATAGCACTAAAAGTATGACAGTCTCGTTCACAGAGTATGGAAATTGATTTTTTTTTAAACCAACTTAGGCATTAATATTAGACTCTTTACAGTCACAGAAAGCCTGGAAACATTAGAAAGTGTGTGATTTATCTACACAGACGGGTTTATTGTAACAACAGTTTTTGGAATTCAACGCAGCTGAGGGTTAACACAGTAACCTCAGATGGATGCTGGAAGAAAAGACGTGGGCGTTTTATTAGGCTTATCAAATGGACACCTCCTGCCACAGATGTTTCACCAAATTAGATCCTCAACTCTTCCAGGGGCTTTAAATGGTAAATTGTGGCTCTTAGCACACATCTACAGTGAAAGGCACTAAAGCAGAGCTCTCCATTTTGCAGAGAGCAAACGCAGCGTGATGCCTTCCACAGCCCTGAAGGCGACACCGAGGAGATTCAAGAGAGGTGATACGAAGGAGACTGCAGATTTCAACTACACCATGAGGGCGGCAAATTCTCTCCAACCAGGACAAAGCGGCGAGGGGGGGGGGGGTTGCTCCTCAAGCTGAGAAACAGATTGAGAGACATACATCAAACGCGGCCCGTCAGCGCGGCGTTTTGTGTTTGATTTTTATGTGAAGTGAATCTCTTTAACACAACTCTCTGTCTGCCTCTGAAGGGGCCAACAAGTCTGTGTCTCCATTGTCGGGCGGATGAAATGATACTTCTCAGGTAACTGGGCCGGGAGCGAGGAGCGTGTGCATACCAAATGACGCCGCCGTGTGCACTCATTCATTTGCGAAAATGAAATGGCGCTTGTGATCGGTTTTTCGTGAGAAATTGTGGTGTTTTGTGCATTCAAACCCCCCCCGCCATTGTTTAACAAAAGGCTAATATATTTGGGTGCATCACAGAAAACCACATTATTGAGAACTTGATATAATTTTGAGTGTCAGAAAGGAAACACACACACAAACGCAGAAAGGATTATCTTGAAGAAACTTAATTGTTTCCAGCAATAGTTCCCCACTAAGACGCGACTGTGAACATTTCCGCTAGCGATTATTTTAACTTTCAAATGACTATCGTGTAACTCCAGCAAATCCTTCATGTGAGCAACCTAGTTTTTTTTATTTTGGGGGGGGGGGGGGGAGATGGGAGGAGGGGTGGTGGTGGTGGTGAGGAGGGGGGGTCTGAAATAGATTAGAGTCCTCGAGGAAAACAACATCTCTTTTAGCCTCCAGTACAATAACAAAACTGGGCTGTGAGCTGAAATGAAAAGGTTAGCTCAATGTTTAGCGTTAATGATGGTGGGGTTCTGATGAGACCCAGCAGGGGTGATTAATTCACGCAATAAACAAGCCCGGCTAGGGCGTAGTAATTCCAAATCGCCAGATGAGTCATACAAAGCAGTTTTCCTTAATCATTTTAAGCAGGTGCCTATGAGCGAATATGGCCAATCCAAAAACAGTCCGAGAACATCAGCATCTCCCACAAGTGTCCTCAATCTTGCGAGGACCAGCTTTCATTCTCTTTCTTAATTTGCAGTGGAGTGCTGATTCAGGGAGCAATCATTGCGCCGTAATAAACAGAGCCATAATCAGTGTCACTTAAGTTAATAAAAGCTGGCTCCTGCGCGGCATCCCAAAGGCCTGCCCTTTGTCACGTCAAGAGAGACTGATGCACATGTGGTTTGCCACTCGCTCGTGACCGTATCTCTTCCTCAAAGGGCTGGGAGCCGCAGCAGCAGCACACAATAACCATTGTCTGTAGTAAATCCCCAGCAGAGCGAGCAGAGAGGGGGGAACCACACGAGAATCCAAACAGGTTTAAAGTCACACTGCCGCTCGTTCTCCACCATTTCAGTGGAACCGTAATACTGTGTTTTCATCCGAGGTTGCAGCTTGCATTAATGCAGCAGCAACAACAACGCCAGCATGGGCTACAGTCACTCTAACTCACCTGAGATTACCATCTCAAACAAAAAAAAACCACAAACAGCTTTATGGGAAACAGAGACAAAAGCGAGTGCATTGCAGCGTGGCCTTTTCTTTCTTAAGAGACAAGGAGCCTTGAAAAGAAGCACATTTCTGCCGTCTGTATCCATTACAGTTTGAGCATGCAGGATAATGAATCATTAGAGGAACGCTTTGACAAGATAACATCTCTTCTTACCTGCAGTTTGGAGGCGGGTCTAGTGTTATTTCTGCCAGCTCTTTGTGAATCCTGCAAGAGAAAGATTTTATTGTTAAAAATCAATATCGGGGAGGTGGAAAACGGACGACTCTGCAAACTGTTTCCCAGCTCGTGATGAGGTAAATGTTGCTTTTAATCACACCTTCAACCACGTGGGCCTACAGCTATTAACAACACGCCGACACAGCTGCTGAGAGCGTCTCCTATTATTCCAAATACCACCACGCCGGCTGTAAGCGGTGTCACGGCTTCATTTACGAGAGGCTGTAAATTAAGAACTCGGTTCATCATTCCAGCTCAAACATAATATAAATAATTCAAGTTGTATCTCCCACCCCGCCCTCCCCTCATTGTAGTCACTTATCTGTGGCACATAAACAAAATGAAAAGGACGATGAGAATAAAAACAACTGCTTTTGAGAATCTTTCCCATAACCCTGAAGAAAAATGATGATTCAGACTGTGAAGGGCGACTGAGTGCAAACTGCTGCCACTGCTAAACTCACGTTAACATAAACACTGGGTGCTTCAGACGACAGTGAAGCCGAACCATGTTGTTGTGAGGAAGGCCCCCACTCACTCACTCACTCACTCACACAGAGAGAGACTGTGTTTCTAAGTGAAGCATACACACCCAAAAGAGAGATGATCATAACATCAGTCGCTGTTATAAAAAGACTCAGCGGCCTCAGCCAACCCTTTCCCTCACGCGGTTGCATAATTCTGTCATCGCCTGTCTTTTCTTTTTGTTTTTTTTTGGGCGGAATAAGCGCTAAGACTGGTGGAGGTAAGTGTCGGTGGTGATGCTGGCGGTGCTGGGAGAGGGAGACACGAGCGCTGCAGAGCATGAGGCAAAATCGACTTTAAAACAAACAGGCCTGAAGGGGAATATCTCTTTTTCAAAATGACACTCGAGTGCCGAGCCGCATGAGCTACCACCTTTTCTGTTGGTTCCGTGTCACAGTGAATAGCGCAAATGTTTGAAATGACAATGCCTGTGGGACTCTAGTCTTTTTATATAACTTCACACCCCCGGGGGTGATTGGGGGGGGGACTGGGAGAAGGGAGAGGCCTGTAAGTTTAACAAAACAACCCCTTGTGTAAATGTTGCTCTCCAGTGGCCGATCCTGGCTCTTTTCTCTTACCTCTTGGCACTAGTTGAAAGTTTAGCAGCGGTTTTACTCGAGATCTTGGTCTCCTTCTTTTTGGGCTGTGCTTGCTCTCGCTCCTGTTCAGGTGGTACCGATTCCCTTTGTTCAATGTCCGAGCTTCCCCCGCTGGTGCTGGGGCTGTCGTCCGGTCTCTGCACTTCGTTGGACATCGTGGGCCCTGAGGAAAAAACACACACGGACGAAGTAGAGTGAGCAAGTTTCCACCTCGGGGGCTGGAGGGCGTTTAAAGACGATACAAAATCAAGTTGCATGCCGGTGCCGTGCGTTTAAAGGAAGCCACAGTAAGATGGGTTTAATTCAATCAATGTGCAGCTGGTTGCAAAGTGTGAGCCGATAAAAATACTTTTGTGAACGCCTACAGTGCTGTGGATCCGATGTACAGGGCCCTTGTTAGAGAGAATATAATAAGCCTTTTCACCTAATGATCTACACAGTAAGAATTGTTAGTGAGACTTTCACGCGAGTGGCTGTTACTCCGGATTCACAGAAACAAGGCTGCCGTCCGTGTCATTGCTCTTCTTTTAAACCAAATAATCCGGATTATATTGTGTTTTGGGGGCGTCTGGCCGATGTTGGACTTCTTCATTAGTGCCATGAGACCTATACCCGCTTCTGTTTACATTATGTTTCTTTTTATCCAGACGACAAGACGAGGCTAAAATATTACGCACGTCTGTACGCTGGAATGTGACTTTTTTTTAGAGCCGATCCTGATTGGTAAGAGAATAATTAATCAGAATTGCAATACGGCAGAGGCTCATGAAATGTGTAAGAAATATTGTGACAAAGCAGCATTTATAAAGACCACACTGTTCAGCTCTTGAAGGAGAAGCGCTGTTCCTAAAAAAAATTGGCCCAAAAAATTGAAATCTGTGATTGCAATAAATGACACCAAATTGTGAATCGATATCGCATAAAATAGATGTTTTTTCCCCTCTCTGCCATCCCACATCCTGTCAGCGCCTGTTTGATTCTGATAAGAGAAGTTAATCATAAAGGATGAAGTGAAGTGGCGGATAGCCGTCGGCTTTCGTCTCTCCCCCCCGGGGGGGCGTTTTCACGGTATATGTTAGACAGTTAATGTGCCCTGGTTTCATACAGCCAGGGTCGATGGAGGACATTATAGTCTCGTTCCTAACCCCCTCCTGGCCCAAAAAAAATAAAAAATACCGACCAGACATCAAGTTAAGATGTGGTTGTGCTGCGTTCATCAGGTCCGTACCCGGGAGGTTCAACGTTTGGTGGGATGCAAACACACCAATAGGGGTCCGACTGTGTGTGGAGGAGGGAGGGAGGGAAGAGGTTAAGAGGGGAGGAGGCTTAGGAGGGAGAGCTGAAACCGAGCCGATCCATAAACATTATTAGGGAGCCATCTAGTACGTTATCAAGGCCCGAGGAGGAGGTGGGAGGAGGCGCAAGTAGGTGTGCGTAACGTTTACCTGCTGGAGGTGGTTTTTTTCTTAAGAAACAGATGAAAACAGGAACAGGGCTCTCGGGGTGTTTTAAAGTCACATGAAAATACCAGAGCATAGAGGCGTTTTCTTGCCGACCTCCGTCCTCCTGGTCAGCCGGGCGCCTGATGGAGGACGTTGAGAGTCGGGCCCGTGCCAGCGGGAGGGTCCAGCGGCGGTGGAGGAGTGTGAGGAGGAGGTAGGAGGAGGAGGAGGCCGGGCGGGGCGGAGGAAGAATGTTGCGGATCCCTAATGCTCCCAGTGTCCACATTACGCGTTGGGAGTCAGGTGACCCTGGCTCGGCACATAAGGAGGCTCGTCCCACACATCCCACCCCCTACCACCACCCCCTCTCCTCTCTCCTCTCTCTCTCTTTCCTCCTCCTCCTCCTTCCTTCTTTCTTCCTCACTGGAAAACGACACTTTTCACGG